ATGCGGCCCAGCGGCCCGGCTGCTAAGGCCCAACCAATGGGGTGTTACCATGGTTTTGCCAATGGGGTGTTGCCATGGGTGTCTCTCTGTATTTTTGTTGTTTCTTCGTGGCCGGCCTTTGAGGAGTCGGGGCCTTTGGTCGGGAGCCTAGGAATGAATGTGGACGAAACGGAAAGAAAAAAAAACCGTTGGGAAAAAGAGTCGAACCGTTGATCACTGTTGTGATGAGGAAGAAGGGGTCCACAAATCAAAACAGGTCAAAACGTTTGGCTGGCGACGACTTCTCCTCTGCTGATAGGGCCGAACCTGAACCTGCAAAGGCAATAAAGAAATCTCCCCTGGTCACGGGCACGCAAATACGAGTAGGTGAATATCCTCATCTACCCAAACAAAAAATGAGCTTTCAATCAATGTCCCACCCAAAAACTGCAACTCATCTCATCTCTTTCACACCAGCTCACCAAATCTTCACAAAACATGGGTCAATCTCTGCAAATCTTGAAGTGATCATGGAACATCAACACCTCCATCTGCTCCAAGTGGCTCTCGCCCTTCCTTCTTCTGAAAAAAAATAACAAACACCAAGCGAATCCCCCCCGGATCACCCGTCTCGCGCCCCCACCTCCTGTTCGCGCTGCATCTTCACCGGCTTCGAGAAGCCGTCGATGGAGGTGAAGACCTGCAACGGTGGAAGGAAGAGAATCACAGGCCCCCAACACTATAGTGGGCCGCAGGAAGAACCCAGGTATACCCAGGTACGCAGGACTGTTTGGTGATGCTTTGGGGGGTGAAGTTTGGTGGTGCTCTCGTGTCTTTTCTTCCTTCAACACGATGACCCAGTGGCTGTGTGAAAATGTGTGAAACATGTCGACCAAATTCTCCTTTTCATCGAACTATCATGGGCTGTCGAGGTGTGCGGGAAGTCGAACATTGATTTAAGCAAAAACTGCTACACATGTGGAAACAGTCGCGGTATAATACTATACGGTAATAGCTTAAGAACAGCATCTTCATCCACCATTGTTTGGGGTTCCTGGCTTTGACCCACACCCAAAGCTGCCCAATTAGAGGTCGTATTGAATCTGGGGCTCATTTCAACCACAAAAGACGTTGCACAAGTGTGAACAAACCCTGACAGCACTACAACAGGAACAATCATGATCCATGATTGAATCATGAACATGCGAAGGCCAGCAGAAAACACGTGAACATGCAAAGGCAGCAACAACGACGACGGGGAAGCAGGAGGAGGAGAAGGAGAAGGAGCAGGAGGAGGAGAAACAGAAGAAGGAGCAGGAGGAGGAAGAGGAGGACGATGACGACAATACACACCCCGATAGTAACTAAAGTAAATTATATAGTTATAATCATTATCAATCACTATAACAACATGATTTGTTCAGAACGACTCCACAACATCAATTCCCCCTACCATCTTCATCCACTATATAAACCAAGATCTGTGGACATGGATTCAGTCATTGGATCTGTCTTTCGATCGCGCAAGGGCCACGTAGGTCGGCCACGTCTCGTCTCTCTGCGCTCGTCCGCGCTAGGTGCTGTTCCGCATCTCAGGGCCTCACCCAAACCTCCGTCGCCTCGGGCCCTGAAATGCCTGGTAGGTAGGAGAGCCTGACGCTGGTCGAGTGGTTTTTGGGTCGTCGTACGGGCCCTGTCGAGGATATAGTTGTAATGTGTCCCAAAGAAGGGCAAGGGGAGCCAAAGAAGCCAGCCATTCTCGGCGTGTCCCTGGATGCCGAAGTTGTATTGGTATATATATATATATATCCATTGTTTTCAAGAACGATCCAAAGAACATCATTTAAATATACAAGCGAAACCGCATATCCGTGCAAGCAAGTGGACACGGATGAATCTTCTCAAGCATAGCAAAAACAACAAAGAACGTACAAACCAAGATCAACATATTGACATATGACACGACTACATATGACATTAGATCTTCAAGCATCGAGAGCCAACTAAGTTGGAGCTCAGTACTGCTCAACCGCATCGGTGTAGGCCAAAAACACCATGAAGAACCCAGCTCAATTGGCTCAAATCAACCCCAACATGGACCATGACATCCTCCAGTGTCTTTTTTGAGGTCCCATGATTGTTGTAAATCCTTTTTGGTCGTCAGATTGGTCTTCATTGTCAGGCCCAGCCCAACTCTCCGTGGTCTCAGCCCAACCCGGCAGCGGCCTGGTTTCACGCCATCCTTGACACACCCAGCAACAGCTGTCCTGGCGAACGGGGACGCTTCGCTCGCGACTCATCGCTCACTCCCGATCCCTGCGTGGGAGGCCGAAGGCCGAAAAGGCGCGTGCTGCAAAAGAAGAACTGTTGACACAGAAGAAACAAAGGAAGCTGAAACATATCTTGCAATGGATAAGCATAAGTAAAATATGAAAGAATATCTTGAAACATATCTTGATAATCAAGATTCATCAAGGATTAATCCATAAGTAGATAACATATGACAACATATTATTGGAATAATCCAACGCCATCTGCCTATAGTAGTATAGCTAGCAAGAGCTCATGCATGGTTCTTTCCAGGGAGAGTTAGTCTGATGTTCTATGCTGTGTTTGAGTTTTTTTACATCAACCTCAATGAATCGGAAGTCATCTACTTCACCAACGAGGCAACCAACAGTCATCTTCCAAACAACTATAGGACTATATATCTGATTTTCAGAATCCGCTCTACGGATCAAGATCAGAGGACTGCTAGCGTAGCTCAAGTCATTTCGGCATTTGGGGCCATTGTGGGCCACTAAAGCTTACATCATCCTACAGCTTACCAACTGGAACCTCTTGAACGTCTTCACCAGGATTGCCATTGGCCCGAGACCTCTGCGCCAGTCGTCGCCGGCCCTTCCCGCTGTCCTCGTCCAGCTCATTGGCGCCCTGGCCCTGGCGGCAAAGACAAGATCCCCAAACTTCCGTGTTGACTCACGAACTGCCCCACCTGGCAATACGGCAATACCTGGGAGACCTGATCCTCTTGAAGTGAACATATGTACCAAAACATCACCCAACCTTCCGCTTCCCTTCCAGACGCATTCGGAGTCCAGAATTTCTAAGAGGATCTTGAACATCACATGATCCAGATCGAACCTTAGAGGGACTGACCTGACCCCCCCCCACGTCCTTCGAGACGATTCGCGCAAGCGCGGTCCGCAGTTTCTGCCGGTAGGCTGAAACCACACCGGTTTCACCGCCTGCCCGCGGAAAAATCCACCACGGTGCACGCACTCCCGGAAGCGGTCTTTTCGGAAGCTGACGCGCAGCCGTCTTTTTGCGCAGCAGTTGGGCAGAGTATAAGCTGCGGTCAGCACGAGCCGGTGGCGCCACGGGCCTCAGCGGCTTCTTTCGACGGTCTGAACTGTTCTCAAGATATGTTGCTTTTGAGGAAAGACACCAGCAGAACCAGGTCGTCCTCCAGGCGTTCCTCCGACTTCTTCACCCTTGGAGGACGTCCTAGAGCTTCCTCCATCCTCCCAGGTCTTAGGTGACTGGAGCTCTGGGACTTGGCCGAACACAACAACAAATACAGGGAAAAGACCAATCTCAACTCCTGCTTGAACTTGTAGCTTGTGTGTGTGTCTCAACATAGCAGTACCATGCAGTGCCATTTGTGCACCAAAGCTTGGAACATTATGATTAATCAGGTCCTGTGAGACAATCATGTGCTGCTAATTGGATGGAACCCACCTGGCTGACAATACAACGTACGTGGTTTCAGAGTAGATGACACAAAATACAGCACCATATCATATATCTTTTAGATGGTGGTCCATGTAAACAATGCTTTTAGAGATTGTGCGGCCATTACTCTGAAACCAACAACCAAATGTACCTATCCTGACGAGGCCTGAAACCTCCTTCAGGTACTTAAGTCCTTCATAGTTGTCACCACTGAGGACCCGAACTACTGCGGAAGATATGCTCTGCCACTCAATCTAACCCACCAGGAGTTCCAAACGAGTGCTATCCATGGAGTCACTTGGGGGGCCAAACACCACCCCTTTGTGACTCCTAGGTTTTTGGAGGCCCAACCCTCCAACTGATGGTCTTCTAGTGTGGGTCCGATATGGGTTACTTGGCCTCTGCAGAGTGTGCCACCTTGCACCCTGACTGACCTTGCAACCCCGAAAGAAATTGAGGCCCACGGAAAAACCTGGGGTGACTCCTGGACATAAGCTATACTACTGCTAACAGTTGTAGATCACGCCTAGTCAAAATCCTCTCGGCAAAACTTCGGGCGTGGTAAACATAGAGAGGGAGATGGCAAGCACTGGGACGGAATCAAGTACCACTGGGTTGGTCTTCGGAACCTCGTCGAAACCACGGGTCCCTTCGATTCTCAGGGTCGACGAGAGAAGGGTTCTGTTCGCAGAAGGGCGAAAGGTCCATCAGTCCCTTGGGGGGTTCCGTGGTCCATCTGCCAGATCTATGCAGCCGATTTAGGACCCAAAGATGTGGAGATGTGTAAGTGTAATAGATACCAAACCCGAAGACCATCCAACGAGGTCATCGAAGCACTACTCCACACACTCCATAAAACTAGCGCATTGACCAATCAGTTGGAGTGGTGTGAGGTGATTACTGGCTTTAGGACTGCCCTACGCTACTTGTGGAGGCCCAAGAACTAGTGGGATGGGAAAGCCCTGTGCTGTGGTTACAGCCATGAAGAGGGAACTCTTCCGACAGTTTCAACTTGGAGCAAGCATGGTTCATGGCCCTGCCAAGAATGTCTACAAATGAGGTTTTAGTATCCCTTAATGCCTTGATCCATCTTGATCCTTATGAGTCAGAGTCCAAGTTTTTCAGTGTCCAAAAAGCACGTGTTGGTGAACATATCTCGCGAAGTGGGGGCCCTAACACTGGATTTACTATTCCATCATATTCCATCATATCTCAGACACTCCATGTATGTATATATATATATATTAAAATACATAAAAATACTATAGTTGGAATTACTATGGAATGATTGAACCATATTGAACGCCCCAGATCACGCTGCAGAAGAGGTCGACCGCTTTTCTTTGCTTTTTGCAGGGGCTCCGCCGCACCTGAAAATTTGTTCGACTCTCAGCGCTTTCCTTTGCCCTTCGCAGGGGGTGGCTCCTTAGCGAACGAAGACGCAGAATGATCTTGATCAGGATTGCATGGATCATCTTCCAAACCATCTGAGGATCTTGCAAAGAACCAACAGGAAGATCTTCTTCCAATCAGGGGATTGTCAACCAGGGGAATGTTATTGACCAAATCACACTGAATCATCTTCCAAATCCTGGCCGGGCGACCTGCAAAGTGAACATCACCATTCGCGATCCTAAAATGAAGAACTTCTAAAGACGTACTTTAAGGACAAACACCGATGTTTCATCAGTGTGTTCTGTGGGTAGAACATGGTTGAACGACCTTTCCAAGATATCGACACCTGAGTTTACATCTTCATGTCCCATATATGTCTTTTGAAGAACTTAGGTGAACCAGGAGTGGGCCGGTTCGCTTCCAAGCCCCAAAAACGCATCGACTGCGTGGACATTCGACAGGTGCTTCTGTGAGTGAATCTCTGTCGCCTCAAACTCCTAATGTCATCAATACCCTACACACATCGCCACACATACCCTTAAAGCATTGAACTCCACCAAAGTCCCAAACTCTTTCACCCCCCCCAACGTTCCCCTTCCGAGCGTCATCTGCACTCGGCTTCTCTGCGCCATACTTGCTGCGGCTCTGACGCCGGCCCACGACCCCTTGCATGTCGCGGGCCCCACGGATCACGCAATACCTCATACCTGGCGAGCCGCATGCGACCGCGGGTTTCACCGCGGGTTTCACCGCGCCGCGCAACACCGGGCCACGGTATACCGGTATCGAGGCTGCTTGCGACCAACGAGTCCCCAACTCCGGAACGACAAAACAAAGGGAAACACATCTGCGGCCCAAGCAAGAACTACAATTGAACACCCAGATGTTCCAAACAGCCCTTGGTCCCTCAAAGACCTGGGGATTGGATCGACCCTCGAACCCCTCCAAAGGATTCGCATCTGCAGTTCATATTCTGTATGAATCGGAATCGCCGTGCAGGCGGCATCTGAGTCCCATCCCTGCCAGCCATCCTCCGCCGCCCAGGTACCGACCAAATCTCGGCGTCGTCCTCCGCGCATGAGCACCGAGGCGAACTCCTGGTCCATCGCGCATGGGAAGAAGAAAGCATCCATACCACCCGTCCATACCACCCGGTTTGGGGTGTCTAATATTAACCCCTTAGACTGTTAAGGGGCTGTGCCAGATTTTGGGTGGGGGACAGGTAACTGTAACGAGGGGTATTGGGAAGATCTGGAAGACATGGAAGGTCGGTCAATCCCTGAAGGTCAATCCCCTTTGGAGCTCGGTGTCTGAAGTTCTTTGCCTTGCCTAACACCCAAAACACTCCAAATAGTTATATACTATATATACCATATATATATATATTGACATGCATAGAGTGTTTGGATTAGGAACCCAAAACGAAAGGAGCAGGGATGGAAGTGGGTGACACGGGGTGTCCCCCCCCTGAGATGACTGGTCGGATTTGGCTGCCGAAATCAAATCAGTCTCACCATTCACCAAGCATCATAACAAACATGACGGATGCGACAGGCCATATGGGTGTGTATGACTCATAATATCTCATAATGACTCATATGACCAAAACTCATTGATTTGGGGGTCTCCCCTCCCCTCCTGATTCAATTACAATCCCATATTGACCGAGAAAAGGCCAGGGGTGGTTGTTGCTGGTTTTGCCGCCAGAATCTGCCGCCAGTCCCACGGAGAGTGGGTCGACCCAGCCACCGCTGTTTAAGGAGCACCCCAATGGGTGCCCCAATGAACGTCCCCGGCTCCTGGCCCATCTCAGCAAGTTTCGGTGGGCACCAACCCCCCTTCCAGGCAGCCACCCCAACCACCAAACCCCAGGAGGTAGTTGGAGCCCTAGGTCTACCAACCCAGGGGCTCCGGTCACTGCAAGCGAAAGCTGGATTCGGTGGGACTGTGGGTGGGCGACTGGAGCCCTGGGGAACACGCTAAAGATCCGTCCAGCATCTGGGGATGGAAGAGTTGCTCGGTCCGAACCACTTTCTCAAGCAGCCCGAACACAAGGCCCAATCTCAGGTATATGGTATACGGATGTATACGGTATACGGTACTTCCTTTGATTTCCAAAGAACTCTTCCTTCAATCCGATACAAGTCCTTGGGACCTACGGTCCAAGCAGTGGGACCCTGGTTGACCAAACATGAGTTCCAGAGCTGGATGGGTTTGCCACGCCCAAACCACCGTTCAGCCAACTGCACAAGATCACCCCGCATGGATATGAGGGCAGATGGTCCATCATGGTCCATCTCTTTCAGAGGGAACAGATGACACCCATTTTCGAGGCCGACAAACGGATCAATGCAGTTGGACCGACCAGCTCCGGTGGTCCACCAGGTCACTCTCCGGGGTCTACCAGGTTCATACGAACGAACGTGGCACTTTCGGAACCCGAATCCGTTCGGTTCGCGCGGTCCGGGCCGGCTCCTGGAGGCTGTGGCCCTCACCGGGGATATAGGCGATGCATTCCACACCGGTGGACAACTTCAAGCGGCACACCTGAGCAGACACACTGCAGTGACCGCCATTTTTGGGCTGGGAGAATGGTTTTGACCCTTTGTGATCTGAAAAGAAAAATCATATATTATAGACTGTTAGTAGCCCTATGTAGGCTATACTATACAACTGCATGATAACTCTGACAAAATGATCAAAACATGTGAATACCTTGGAGCGCCCTGGAGTCTGACAACTGTGGGATTGGGCTTCACAGGCCACATCTCCGCTGAGGCCACATGACCCTGCTGTACAACAAGGCTGGGCGGATGTCAAAGGTGACGTCAAATTAAACACGTCCACTAATTATGGTTCTTTGCGCCATAGATGGATGGGTCAAATGGATACCCGGAAAATTGACTTTGAACTAGGTCAGATGGACAAGAACAAAAATCACATTGCTTTCCTTATCCAGTATCTGATCCAGTTTCCAGAAACTCAGTCATGTCTCTGAGGCAGATGTCGCAAAGGCTGCAAGCAACATGACAATCCTTGACTCCTACGACTCCAGTCATACCTCCGAAACAAAGGTATGACTGGAATACTGCAGGCACCTACCCCAGTCCCATCGAACTAAAACGAGGGTACGAACAAAGCCCCACCCCGGAACAAAAGGGTTTGGGGAACCCTTCTGTGCCGGAAATGCTTCCGCTGCCCTGCGGCCGCGCATGTATCCACCACATCTGCTTTCCAGGGATATACTGTATCCCTGGGGGCTCCGAATGTCCCATATCCTCAGTTTCAGTGGTTAGACCCTTCTAGCACCCACCCCGAAACAGAGGTAGGCTGGGGGCCCTAGGGTATGGCATGTTCACCCGACCTGGAACGAAGACAGAGACCGGCTCCGCTCTTCACTGGGCCCAAAGCTCTGAAGATGAAGGTGACCGGACGACACAAAGATTCTAGAGGTATAAATAATCTCAAGGTGACTGCATGACCTACTGCCCAAACATTATGCCGTGGCATGGCACAAGCACTCTGGATGAATCTAGTAGTAGTAGTAGTAGTAGTAGTAGTAGTAGTAGTAGTAGCAGCACTAAGCTCGGAGGAGCCTGGCCGATTTGAATGAATCTACAGGTGTCATATCGAGTTGCCTCCCCAAACTTTTTCTCAGTCTGTCTCCACACCTTGCGAATCGCTGAGTTGGGCTTCTTGGGCGACATGGTGTAGACACGCATGACGATGCCGCCCTGCCACAAATCGTGCATCAGAGGCTGAAAAGACATGTGCATGGGCCGCATGGGGATTTACATCGATTCCATTGACGAAGGACATATACCATCCAACCACTGGAGTGTTAGGTATTCATTCGTCCTTCGAGTTGTCTCTTCTGAAAGGCCTCCATGGAGGCCATCCCACTGCCCTCAATGAGACGCGAACGACCACATCTCGATCAGCGAGGGACGTCTGCAAAAACCATCGATATAAGGCGTTTCTCTGGAACAGGGGTGTTCCATCATCTTTAAATCCGGATTTACGGACCTGGAGAACCGAAGAAGACCTGGTCTTGAGGCTTAGAAGGTGTTCATACCTTAAAAAACAACAATTTAAACCATATTATATTACCCTATGGATCCACATACCTTCTCGGAAGGTAATTGGGTCCCCCAAGCCTACATAAATAGTCTCCACTCACCTTCTGAGAAGGTATGTGGATCCATAGGGTTATATTATAAGATTATATTATATATATAAAGGATATTTTGAGCATGCCCCCGTTCTTTACATGAATCCTCTTCGAAAAAATGCAATGGGCGTCACACTCCCACCTGTTTGGGGGGATTGGAGGGTCAAGCTACCCTTTTCGTTTGTGCTTGAAGCCAGTTATGGGCGCCCGAGTGGCTCCTGAGCCTGAGTCCAAATAGAATCAGCATGGTATACAATATGTATACAATCGATATTGTTGTGTGACTTGACTGATAATTAATGTAGACTGTTGGTGAAAACTTCCCCCCCATGTGCATTGTAGAACCTTTCCAGGCCGTTGACATAGCAGCACTCAGCTTTGAGGCTTGGCATATCTTGGCATCCTTTCCCGGTCTGACCATCCTCTGTCTCCACCTATCGGCATCCGCGTCCGCTGCTCAACGTTGGCTGGCACACGGAGCATGGAAACCCGTGAGAAATGTCAATGTATTGTATATTACTTCTTGTTCCCTCGTGTTTAGCAGCTGGAAGTGAAGTTTTCACGATGGTCGAATGGTAGATCGACATATCAACGAATGGCCCATACGACCTATTTGTTCATCGATCGGTCTTCAGACCCCTGTAACATGGTTCCTTCCATGGTGAGATCGTTTTTTTGGCTTCATTGGTGGGTTCCAGCCTTCTGGGGGCATTTCTCCAGCTCCTGGCGCTTGTTACGAGGCTTCGGGCGCTTCATCGGTGGTCCTGGCGGGGAAATCGCTTGAGAAAAAACCGGGTGGTCGAAAGTGACCGAAAGAAACCACAGTTTTGAAAGGCGAGGGAATCTGGATGGATGAGGCATACTAGTAGTGTAGATGGGCACCAGTGGGTACCAAGAATTAGACCACTGGACCCATGGGGTACATACTATAATTACTGTAGCAATGGGTTGACGAGAGATAACAAAAAGATTGAGTGAACCCATGTGAACCCACAAAAGAAGTTTATTCTCTGCCACATCTCGATGGAAGCTGGTTGGCTGGATGCTTTCAGGAGCTTTGGGCCCTTTTCCAAAACGAGCGAAAGCTCTGCAGAGGATGAAATTGTAGTTCTTAGGGTTCCAAGCAAGCAGATTGTCTTTTTTCTGTGGGTCTGCAGTAGGGGTACCTCGTAAGCCTGCCAGGTCACAGAACTCGAAGGTCTCAATCATCCTTGTTTTCTCATATAAGAGAGAACTCAGTGTGTGAGGCATAGGGTCTGGCGTGGGTCCATAGGTGTCTGACTGCACCATCCTCCACTCAGAAACCACCAAAGCTCCGGTCGCAATTTGCTGGAGATGTTTCGTCATGTGGTCGACAGGTCCAAGAAGCTTGTGACCATGCTCTGGACGTTTTGGTTATGCTGCGTGGTGTTTGTCAGCAACGACTTGATTATTCCAATCCATGATCAAGCTCTCCCAACTTCCAAGTTGGCAAGAAAGCTTGCAGTGGCAGAGTAGAAGCCGCAACCCCCAAGATGACTTTAGATGGGGTGCATGTAAACCACTTTTGGGGGACTGTGCAATCTACTCTCAATCCACTGTAAATACTTGCACCCCTCCAATGGATGAAACCAACCTTCAGTCATGGGCTGACCTGCTCATTAGATGTCTGTGGCAGGGATTTCTCTAAGCCTTAATTACTTGCCAGTAGCTTCCGGTAACATCTATAGGTAGCTACGTGTAAGATGTCTACATAACCAAAGAATCACATCTCCTTGCAGGCAATTGGAAGGGTCGAATAATAAAAAATGTCTGCCCGCTCTTTCTGCTTTTTTTGAAGGTGCACACCTTCGCATCTCTCTCTCTCTCTCTCTCTATGATCTCTATGGCGTGGCTCCCATGTTGAAGGACAGTCAAACCCTGCAGCCTGCACGGTTCATCAACATATGGCGATGTCAATGTCTCCGAGGGGGATATACGTATAAATCGTCAGCCCGGCGAGGGCGCTGCACGATTCCAACCTGTTGAACAACCCCCACCGCAGCGCCGTGCCTGTGATGCCCGGGATTTTAAAGCATAGGCTGGAGGCATGAATCCAGGCGGCCTTACATCCCGTATGGGAAAGCACACGCTGGACTGGACACCCAGGTGTTCATAGTTCATACAACCACCCTCAGTTAATACTCAGTTTGCTGCTTTTCATGATATAATGACCCTCAGTTTTCCGTCGGATGACGTGTGAAACTCACCACGGAGTGTCTGGTCTTCACCACATGCTTTCAACAATCCCAGCCGGGCTCGAGTCGTACCTTCTAAGGAGCTGGGACTGGGACAAGTGCTGTTGTCGGTCCCAGTCCCGAACCTGAGGAGCTACGAGTACGACGCCTTACAGCCAGCCCTGCCGGGCGTCCAGAATCGCCACGTCATGGCGAGGGGCAGTCCGCCAACTCCTTTCTCTCGGGTCCCGGCAAAAGAAGACCCCCCAAAACTCGAGGGGTCGCGATCTGCAACGTCGGGGGAAGCCAAGCCTGTGATCCCATCTGATAGAGGGGCGAAATCGCAAGATTGACCAGATCCCCATTCGTTGAATGTGGAATTCCCGGATCCGGCGACGGGAATTCCGAATGAAACAACATGCCGTCATCTGAAAAAGGATCGATGTTGGTGGACTTCGAGATAGATTTTACCTGATTTTAACTGTAATTTTTACAGTATCGAACCCTGTAGTAGGCATCATAGGCATCTACACTCTCCATGGATGCTGTTAGATAACCGCTTCCAGGTCCGACCGACCTGGTGGTTGACCGGGTTCGTCGGGTCGGTCCCACTCTCCGGGAGCGTCAACGGACGAAGGATGGCATTCTTGGATGGTCAAACACCAGGGCCGGGCAGGTCTGGTCTAAAAATAGGGAACATCAAATGCAATTTAAAACACATGGTGTTTTATTGCATTGATGTTATATGATATGTCAATGTCTTTCATGTTGACCCACACTTCCTGTGTCTGTCCTTTCTGCAGCCCAAGCGACGACCAAGAGGCACAGGGCCAGCAGGCCCCGTCGCACGGACGCCATGACCCACGGGTTCAGCCCCGTACCGTTCACCCCGCCCGAACTTGAGAAGACGGGCTATGGAAATCAGCGGACCCTTTGGAATGGCCAGAGTCGAGAAGATGGCAAAGAAACGCATATACCAGTGCCCCTTAGACTGGGGGGTGTCTAATAATAAATGATAGCCCCTTAGACTGGGGGTGTCTATTAACCACCCCTTCTACGGGGTCCTGGTATAGTGCTTCGAACGTCTCCCCGACAGGATGGATTTGAGCGCCAGAAAGCATGGAGCGCTCTGCTTCGAAAAGAGGGACTTCTCGAGTCGTCACAGGCCCCCAGATGCCAACAAACAGGAATGGTACCATGTTCGCACAAGACTCTCGCGTCCGCGACTTCTCCGGCGTGGTCTATATGTTGGTCCCCACAACGAAATTGGATTCGGAGTTTTTGGGAGGCCACCGGCACCGGGACGTTTCCCTTGTCCAACACTGCCCTTATTGGGGTTCTACCGCCCGCGGGGCCCCAGGCGATGTTCAAACATGGCTCCAACGGGCGGAAAACGCGTATCAAATCCAAGTGAGTCCATGCGAGGCTAGCAATCCCACTGATAGATGGTGAGTAGCCTACTCGTAAGTCTTTTCACCCGACCTTGGTAGCTTGAGGACTTGATGCCTCCGCCATGTCTTTTTGGATGTTTCTTCTTTGGATCATGACGTTTTTATTCGCTGACCCTTTCGATTCTACGCTCAAGAAAAGGACGGGTACTGCTTCGGGCGCCCATGTGCGCCCCCACGTGTTTCCCGTCTCATCGTCTTGGGACCATCTTCCGCGGAGTGCATGTCCAAGAAGCTTGGGTGGCCAGGTCCATGGCAGCTGCAGGTTTTGTCTGGACATCTGTATCTTCTGGATGTGTGAAGACTGTAGTGTTACCCTGGTGTTGTTGTCGTTGATGTTGCCGTTCTCGTTATTTCTTCTTCTTCTTCTTCTTCTTGAGTCTAGTCTAGAGCTTCAACAAATTAATTTTGTGTTGTTTCACTTGGGCAAAGGTCATGTGGATCGGGGCCATCTACTGGATCTTAACAAGTAATGCAGTTAGCCACGTAAAGAGTGTGTTTTGTTGGTGTTTGTTTGGTGTTTACACAATACTGTAAATATAAAAAAATGAATATGATAATCATCCCTATCTGATGTTTAACATGGCCCCATCTGAATTGGAATGTGGGGGTCCCAATCTACTGGAGGAGTTCGATAAAAACTTGGTCTGAACAAGCTCAGTGTTGAACTCACGCGACAAAATCTCGGAGTAGGCTCTGCAAGTCTCGGATTGGTGCCAAGCGCAGGTACAGGTACTTAATTACTGGCTTCCCTAAGGTTATAACAAATAATAAGTAATAAAACATCAGATCATTGAAATTCCTATTCTTCTAAAAACATTTGGATCTGAACCAACCTCCAAAACGAAAGACACACCTTGACCTGTCACCACAAAAAAGGCATCCGCAGCGGAAAAACCTTTACAGTAGGTCTCCAGCAACAAAGTATTGTACCAAATTACAATTGACAGTTGTTGTGCCGGACGTTTTTGGAGACCTCTTTTTGTCAACCCTCCCTAATTATCCGGGCCCTCAAATGGAAAGGGATGGAAAAGGTTTTGAGGGTCCGGACCCGTACTATGGAGGGTGTGACCCCTGGCATGGAGAGCCCAAGGATTCTTGGGGCTGACTCTATACTAAAACCTGCGCGAAAATCCTTGGATTTGCTTTGGGATATGACTCCCTTGGAATCATTCAAAGTGTTCAAAAACATGAAAGATTTCCTTTGAACAGACTTTGTTCCGAATCACTCAAAGCCTTTCACCAGCAACCCATTGTTGGGGGGATCTGTGTATGAAAACATCCTTCAGCGAAGGTGGATCGGGGGCTGCAGGTCTCGTGAGTGGAGGTCTCAATCCTTCGATCCTGACAAGCAGCGATAGCCAAGGACGTTTCACGAGAAAAAGTGGACGGGCGAGTGGAATCACAACATGAAATTCTCCGGCAAGTACAGCACCCTCGCAACTCTCCTGGCTCAAATCCCACAGATCTATTTTGGCAAAAGCCCGATATACACCACCAATTGGAAATTGGGCGTCCACCATTCGACACTGCGTTCCTCCTCCATCGTTGGTCGTTAGTGAATCCACCAAATTCCTTAAAAGATCTTAAAAGCCAAAGTGGCCAAGGCTGATCCAAGAGTACACCCCAGAAAGGTCAAGGATTGAGTGAAGGATAGCTGATAGCTGTTGGGAACAAAAGCTCCAGGTGGGTGGAACCCCCAAAATCACCCCCTCCTTCCCCCCAAAAAACCCTGCAGTCGCACCCCCCCAAATCCATGGAAATTCTCCCAACCCAAAAACACGTTCCATCGCTTTTGGAGCCTCAGCATCAACCTCTCCGCGACGAATCACCGTGCGCGCCTCGGACTGCTTCGCTCCCCGGCGCGGCACCTGAGTCTGAGTCGTCGGGCGAGTGAACGGTGGGATCTCGCCCTCCACGAGATCCACTTCCGTGGAGGCTCCGGTGGTCCAAGTGGATCTGGATGATGAGGTGGCCATCTGCAGATCAACACCATCAGCGACCACTGTTTCTCCAAGGTGGTGCGAGAAGGGGAAGGCTCTTTTGGGCCGAAGAAGCAAGCCAACGTAGCGAACTACTCAACGCAATGAAGTTATATTGGATTGAGAGTAGATGGCACAGACCCCAGGAGGTGGTTTAAATGGAACCCAAGCTAGAAGACACCTTGGGCCTTTGTGCAATCTACTCTGAAACCACTGTGAATGGTCTACAAAAAGACTTCAAGATTCCGGCTAGGGATCCATATTATGCAAAGCGGAAGTGCAAGGTACAGCAAGAGGACTTGAAACCTGCGATAGAATAAACAACTGGTTGGTTGGTGCTTTTAACTCACTTGAAACATAGTAGTCAGTGGGCTCAATCATCCCAAGTAAAGGGTTGAACATATAAAAATCTGTTCACCACCACCCAGAAAATTCCATGATCCAGAACGACTCCTCGATCCAAGGTCCATGCAACTGTTTGAGTTTGGAGCCACACGCGACTCTGTGAGAACGTGGGCCTTTGGAGGGTTCGCAAATGTCTAACATCAATTTCTTGGGAAAAGCAAAGACGGATTCATCCGAAGTCATGTGTGTCTGGGTTGTTTGAATCGGTCCTTTAAAAACATGAAATAGATTTATATACCTGGACCCTCCCCTCCAACAGGTAGTTCCTGGTGACAACAGGGTGCCCAGAAACCACCTGAACAAACATAAAGAAAGTGTTGGAGGTCGGGGTATACATAGCGCCACATGGGACAAGGATGAATGACATGATCCTAGAAGGACAGCTGTACCTGCTAAGGTAGCTACCAAACGCACCCCCACATTTGGGGTGTAGATTTGGGAGCTCCAACTCCCGTGGATCGTTGAACCATCTCATCCCAGAAGTTGAGAGACCTGGTCCTGTTGAGTGGCACATATCTCACAGGCTGTAGGGCTGTTCAACCTCTTCAGGGCCAAAAGGCACCGACGAAACCGTCCGACGAAAGCGACGAAACCTCACCGGGTCTCCCGGCCAAACTGCCATACGCGTCCACGTGCGCCTGGAGCTGCTGGTGGGAGTTGGTGGTCAACCAGTGGAGCAGAGGAGGATGCCTTCATCACAGAATGAAACCTTTAAGATATAAGACACATGTGTACTGTATAGATAGATTATGATTATAGGTCCGTCTGACTGGCATGGAAAACGACTTTTTAGGAATCAACATGCATTCTTGCGCCACACCATCGCAAAATCAGCCGGAGAAAACCTTCCAGAACTCCTCCAGTTCCTTGCACGCGGCAACCAACTGAGTTTGGGGTATCGCTCACTGATGCCAAGCTTGCAACATCGCAAATGAGTTGTGTGAACCCTTCGACACCCTCATCGCCTCATCACATCTGATCCTCATTCTTGAGATAGCTCGATCCAGTCACACTGCAGCTCCAACGCCCTCTGTGATGACTCTTCAGACTCGATTTCATTTCTGACCTTCGGCAGCCGGCAGCCGGTGTGCCGCCTACGGCCGCCTGACCTCTGTCGGCGTGGTGGGACGAAGCTCCGGGCACCCGGCCGAAAGCTTCGTCGGTTAAGCGGACGGCACCTCGTTGGGGAACCACTGTCCCCACTGCTAAACCGCCGCCAATCGTGCAGCAGCAAACGCTGCTCGTGGATGTGCTTACCAAGATCTTCAGCTTGTGCCCCCTCCTTCTCACCAATCTGAATTTGGTTCGCTTCGAAATACCCACCAATCTTCCTGCTCCTTCTCACCAATCTTCCTGCTCCTTCTCGTACTTGTTCACTTCGAAATCAGCAATGGAGAGGTTCCATGGGTTCCATGATGGTCCTCCTCAGTCTGCAGCGATGCTTCAGAGGTTGGTCATCTTGAACCCACACCTTCGAAAACTTCATGGCCCTCGCCTTCCTTCTTGTAGCTCGTTTGGTCATTGACCGTTTTATGGATCATGTCTTCAAGATAAACCCTTCCAGAATCCTTGGCTTCTTGGAGAAACTTCTCAGAGTCGCTGAAGCTTTCTCCCTTGAACTCCTTGAGCATGGCATTCTTTACTTAAAGGCATTCTGCGATGGCCCTCCTCGTGTCTCTCTCGTTTCCAAAATCTTGAGGGGTTTGTCAACCTCATCACAAAATCCAATATACATATTATATATATATTATATATCGGCATTGGAAGGTTAACCTGTAAGCTCTGCTATTTGAGGTTCAGGACTGCGTGATGTTCAGACTTGGAGTAGAATACTGAACTCCAAACACCAACCCTGAAACACCCTGACATATTATCATATTATCCCTAGGGATCCAAGTACCTTCTCAGCACCTGGACCCTCCTGGCACCCACCCCATGTCCCACCTTCTGAGAAGGTACCCCAGGATCTCTAGGGAAACCTATGTGTCATGATGCGACTAAACATCTGGCGCCGGACATCGGTGCCATCGGTGCCGTCACATTGGGCGTCTCCGCGGAAGACCCAGGCCTCGTTGCCCG